GCCACTTCTGGGTTCCGAATGGTAGACTGGGGTAGTCATCGTCGCTGCGTCGTGCGCCATTTAATTGCTTGCACCCTATCATGCGCTCGCGCATGCACTTTGCATCAAGCTTTTTCTTCATTCCGGTCTTAGTTCTTTCCTACGCCCTTCAACCCTTTTCTGCAAGTCTCGTGCCCCCGACACGACAGCACTCTTCAGCTATGCGTGATCCACCTGCATGTGTTGCGGCCGTCTCGAAGCGAACACCCTCGGCTCGCCAGAGTCTGCACCAACATATTGAGAGAGCATGAAGGATGGAACCCCCGTCGCGCTATATCCGCAACATTTTGAAGATCCGAGTGGTTTCTGAACCGGTGCTGTAAAAATAGCACATCAGCTTATTGGGCGACAAGTTGTACAAATGAGCATGAATCACAAACGCATGAACAAGCTCGGCTCATCTCGCGAAGAGGTGTTCTTCGCGCCGTCTGTTCTCCAGATAGAAACAAAACAGATGCTGCCCCAGTGAGGCTCGAACTCACGACCTTCCGATTGCAAGTCAGTAACAGTCGGACGCTGTAACCAACTCAGCCATGGGGCATATAAGCATTGACTTCTAGAGTATATATGTAGCTGTAGTAATCTGTGGATAATGCGGGAGTGGGTCATGGGAGCCTATGGAAGCCGGCTCTGAAATTACGACCTCAAAGAGCAACCACAGCCAGGCCAGATCATCAGACCTATGTTACCTCACCGGCAAGGCCCACCTAGGCTGTAAACTAGCTCACCAGAAAGTCGTCTCCTGCAGTAAGCCTTGCCTTCCGCGGCTGCAGTCTCCATGATCCATCCGTCGTGAAGCCATGGACCTGGGGAAGGGCGTGGGCGGTCCCTATGGCCTATTAACGCGCGCTAGCCTCAGGAACGCTTGTTCGCACAGGGAACGATGGCATGTAGAGACTGCTGCTTGCGTGCATGGGCCAGATTGTCGTGTGAAGCCGTTGCGATGGAGTTCGGTTCCGGATCGGACTCATAAGGCTGCTCGGACAGACAGACAGACAGACATCTGCCACCTTAAGGCCACATCCTCGTCCTCGTCCTCGTCCCCATCCTCCTCCATCGAACAGATCACCATTGTGCCCAGATATGAACGTCGCTATCCCCGACAAGAAGCTTCGCGTCGCTATCATGTACGTCCAGCCGCTTCCAAACTATAGACTTGTCCTCATCGTGGTGATTCTCCAGCGGTGCCGGTCTCGGCGGTCTCGCCCTCGCCCTCGCTCTGCAGAAGAACATGCCTGATATAGAGCTCGACATATACGAACGTGCCAAACAGCTCGCTGAAGTCGGCGCCGGTCTCGGTGCGTCGCCTCGCGTCTGGGCGATCCTCCAGTCCCTCGGCCTCGAAAAGGATTTGTTGGAGGCTGGCGGCACGACTCAAGTCAGTGGAAGTGAGTATATGCGCCCTTATCTCCTTGAAATACGGCAGAGACTCATTTTATCTACGCTACAGCGATGCCATTGCGCTTCCTGAAGGGCGACCAGCCCGAGGTGGCTGAAATATGCGAATTCGGGTCCCCAGTCCGCACTTTCCACCGGGCGCACATACAGCAGATCTTCACGCGACACCTGAAGAACTCCGAGCAGATTCTTCACTTCTCCAAGCTCCTTGTTGGCTACGCAGAGCCCGAAGACCCTACGGCCCCGATAGTTTTGCGGTTCGGGGACGGGTCGACGGCCACCTGCGATCTGGTCCTCGGTGCCGACGGCCTCAAGAGCGCGGTTCGCCACCAGATGTATAACGACATGGCGGACGTGGCGGAGAAGAAGGGTGACCTCGACATTGCCGCGAAGCTGCGGGACGTGATTCCCCCTGTGTGGTCGGGCATGGTCGCCTACCGCGCCGTTGTTCCTACGGATAAGCTCACGCAGGACGTCAAGGACTTGACAAAGCCGATGATGAACATTGTGAGTCTTCAGCGGGAAACTTGGATAGATATCGATTGACAAGTCAACTAGCTGTTTGGCAAGTCACGCTATCTGATATACTTCCCTATCTCGCGCGGGCAGGCATACAATGTGGCTGCCATGGTTCAAATGCCCGGGGCCGCGGGCACACAGTACAACGGTCCGCCGTTGACGGCAGAGGGGATCCTGAAGCTCTACACCGACTGGGATCCCAAGATCAAGAGCATTATCAGTGTAAGCTTCTCCGTTACCATCTCGTCACTGGCGGCCGCATTGACCGTACTTTTTCGTCAGCATATGAGCATGCCGCTCGACTGGGCCGTACACACCGTCAAAGATCTCCCCACGTATGTGAAAGGTCGCGTTGCTCTTCTCGGTGATGCAGTGCGTTCTCCTTCCTGGCCGTTGTGGCTACCTGCTTACTGCATCTTCCTCAGGCGCACGCAATGACCACTAGCCAAGGCTCTGGCGCAGGCCAGGCGATCGAAGACGGCTACATACTCTCCGCCGTACTCGCCCATCCCCTCGTCACGAGCCAGAATATCTCCGTCGCGCTCGAGATCTACGACACGGTCCGCCGGCCGTTCTCGCAAGACATCGCGCGCCGCTCGCGCGAGAGCACGCGTCTGTACCTTCTCGACCGGCTCGGGTGGGAGAACGTAAGCGAGGCTGAGTGTGCGCGCGGCGGGTTCACGCACGAGCAGCTCCAGCCAATTGGGCGGATGATAGAGGATGATATGGGGTGGGTGCATGCTACCCGCATCGAGCACGACGAGGAGCGCGCGATGCAGATGGCACAGGAGAGGCTGAGCGCGCAGGCATGAGCAAGGACACAAACTGTAACACAAATGGGAGCAAATGGACGGACCACAGTTATTGTAGAAACATGTAATTAATCCCCACTTCAAGCTGTATAGTTGAAGCTCCTATAGTTCGAACTGTTGGGTATGGTTGTGGAATGTGGCGCAAATTTGTCCACATGCGCCACCACGTATCGGTAACCATATGCCCCATGGCTGAGTTGGTTACAGCGTCCGACTGTTACTGACTTGCAATCGGAAGGTCGTGAGTTCGAGCCTCACTGGGGCAGCATCTGTTTTGTTTCTATCTGGAGAACAGACGGCGCGAAGAACACTCTTCGCGAGATGAGCCGAGCTTGTTCATGCGTTTGTGATTCATGCTCATTTGTACAACTTGTCGCCCAATAAGCTGATGTGCTATTTTTACAGCACCGGTTCAGAAACCACTCGGATCTTCAAAATGTTGCGGATATAGCGCGACGGGGGTTCCATCCTTCATGCTCTCTCAATATGTTGGTGCAGACTCTGGCGAGCCGAGGGTGTTCGCTTCGAGACGGCCGCAACACATGCAGGTGGATCACGCATAGCTGAAGAGTGCTGTCGTGTCGGGGGCACGAGACTTGCAGAAAAGGGTTGAAGGGCGTAGGAAAGAACTAAGACCGGAATGAAGAAAAAAGCTTGATGCAAAGTGCATGCGCGAGCGCATGATAGGGTGCAAGCAATTAAATGGCGCACGACGCAGCGACGATGACTACCCCAGTCTACCATTCGGAACCCAGAAGTGGCGCAAGGGGCGCGGCTAACTGATCATCTTGACCACATCGCTCGTAACAACACCAGGGAACAGCTCCACCGCGTCGACCTCGCATACTGTTGCGTCTCCGGCGGGCAGCTGAAACGACCACACGTAAGTTAAGCAACCCACAGCGAGCGCGGCGCAGACTCACGGCATCGTTGTTCAGGTAGTCTTGGATGATCTTCGACGTGCACTCTGACGCCTGCGCGAGGCTGCGATGCTGGTACGCCCCCGTCAGCCGACGCACCCGTCGCCCCCGCCCCAACTGGACCACTCACCCCGAATCCGTTCTGGCGCACAAGCGTCGCGCTGTCGCCCATCAGGTCCGCGAGCGTCTGAGCCTGCGAGAACGGCGTAATGGGGTCGAACTGCGCGGGCGCGTCGGTCAGCATGAGATGTGTTCGAAAAGCTGACAGGAGGGGTCGCACAGTGTTGCCGATGATGAGCGCGGGGTTCGAGAGCGTCTTGTTGAAATGCCCCGTGTACCGCTCGACGGCGCGCGCGGGCCACCACGGACAGTAGTAGGCCACGTACGGGAACAGGCCGGCAACTACGACGGTTGTAAGCGTGGAACGCGCAGGGTCGACTTTCACCTACAAGTGGGCGAAGGCCCGTTCTGGACGGCGGTCACAATGGTGTCGAAGACGTCTTCCATGGTCGATTCGTCGGCATCGATGCTGTCTCCGCAGTAGATGGCGGTCATCCCGTACTCCATCCCCGTCTCGCTCCGCCGTCTACAAACCGAGCGTTCGTCAGCGGAGCAGCGGCGTCATCGGAAAGCACACACTTGCGCGTAGGCCGAACGGTCATGCCCGACTCCGCCTCCACGAGCGGGACCAATCGTGCGATCAGCGTTGCGCCGCCCTGCCAGGACTCGGGCAAGTACAGGTCACCGAATACGCTCCCTGAATGCATCCTGTTCAGAGCACGTCCTAGACCGTCCGGGAGCCGCTCACTCACCACGCGTGACGCTAGATTGGATGGTGACGGGCCCACTGCTGTGCTTCTGCGCGTCCGTGGCCGCCTGCACACAAACGACGATCAGCATCACGAGTCTGCGTCGGGTTGGTCTGCGCTCACGTCGAGGAGCTTGGAGAGCAACGCCATGACATCTTGGCCGGTGCCCCCCTCTGTCGTGAGGTTGCAGTGCGAGGGGCCTGAGAGCGCACAAGCGGTCGCCATCCCCTCCCACACCTTCTCGCTGTCTTTCGTTTTGTCTGCCCAAGACTGATACCGGGGGTCAGCTCGGAAAACGTGAGTGCAGAAAGGAACGCACAAAGTAGCTCTGTTTCTCTGCCGTGTCAAGCACATTGACCACCCCGTCGAGGATGACATGCCCAACCCGCTGCACAGCACATCAGCATCAGGAGAGACGCAGGGGATAAGCACCCACATTAGGAAACACTGTACAGTCGACCTCGTTCAGCCCGACTCAGACCCAAACACTTCGTTGCACTCACTGTTCACCAGCCACGCCCCCATCAGCGTCCCATACGACATTCCCCAGTAATTCACCGCCGCCCCAGGTCCGTCGATCGCCTCCGCCAGCGCCGCCAGGTCCCGCGCGTTCGCTGCCGTCCCGACGTACTTGTACGTGCCGTCGATGTCCGCCGTCGCGCACCTCCCGCCGAGCTCCACGTACTTGTCCTGCATTGTCCGCGCCTGCGCCATCAGCCCCGCGACCTCGCCCGGGTCCGTGAGGTTGCCAGAGTAGTTGATCCCCGTCACTTCGAGCGTCCCGTTGAAGAACGCGGACCACTCGTCAAACGAGTCGAAGCAGAAGACGCTGCTGGGGCTGCCGTCGAGCTCGCTCAGGAACACGTCCGAGCGGGGAGACAGGTGTCGACACGTACATGGTCGCCGTCCCGACCCCACGCGGGTCCCAGCTGACGAGGTCGTAGTTTCCCCCTGTGACGTTCATGTACTGCATCCCGTTGAACGCGAGATCGCTCACGCCGCCTTCGTCGGGGCCACCTGCCATCGGTGTGTGTGAGGGTTGGTGACAACTGGGACATGAGGGGGTCCACTGACCGGGGTTGGTGAAAAGCGTGCCTTTGCGCTCGCCCGTAGCATTCATCTTGATGAGCGACAGTCGACCGGTGCCGGCGGACGGGTCCGCATAGTCGAGCGGGATGGGGAAGAATGCGCAGTCGATAGGGAACTTGGAGACCGCGATGGTGGACTCGCAAGGAGCCCATTCGATCGTCGGTGCAGCCGCACGCTTCGAAGGTGTAAGGATATGGACTATGGGAGAGAGCTGTAGACTCACCGGGACGGAGAGGACACCGGGGGTAGCTGCGAGCACGCTCACGAACGATCCCAATCCAAGAAAGCGCGACATGGTGGGCAGGTAGAGTATGTGCCCCAAAAGCTCCGCCTTTATGGCGCACCGCTGGAGCTCCAACCTGCAAGCTTTATCTCCGTCGGCGGTAGTCGTGACACCCCAAATTCAAATCGACGCTTCGGCGATGCGAAAACGCGGCTACTACAAGCCGCTTGAGCAGAATGAAGACTCACGTTGGGTTGTATATAGCGTACGTCCGAGCCAAGCAGTTCTTTCTCCATATGGAACATTAAAACCGCGTATGACATCCAACTTGAAAACTGAATAAGGATACAGCAAAGAACGCACCAACGGACTAGCATGCGAGGGTCGTAAAACTACAAAAGCATGAGTGGGTGTGAGGGTTGGGTATAAAGATCCAGTGGAGGCAGTGTCCGCCACGGGGTGAGTGAGTATACAGAATCCATCATTGGTATTTCTCCTTATAGATCCAGGTCAGGCCAATGTCGCTGACCCCTTGCTTGACCTGAGTAGACCCGTTAGGACCAAGGCCCGGAGACGAGGGAAAAGTACCCACCGCCGCACGATACCATTTCGCGGACTCCTTCTTGTCCTTCTTGCACCCCTTCCCATTCAACAAGCAGAACCCGAGCTCCTGCTGCGCATCCGGATCCCCGAGCCGTGCTGCGACCCGGTAATATTGCTGACATCTCGTGTCAGCCCCGGCACGCGGAGGAAGTGAACATACAAACACTCACCACGGCCATCTCCTTGTCCTTCTGCACACCCCAGCCGCGAAAGAAGCTCTGCCCGACCTCGTAGATCGCAAGCACCAGCTCCGACTGTCCACCATCAGCCCACGCACCCTCACAAGCACCGCATGCGCACTCACCCGGACCGCGCCCATATCCCCCTCCTTCCCTTCCTTCTCCAGGTCGCCCACCGCGAGCTCCGCCGCACGCCTCAGCCACGCGAACCCGCGCGCCTCGTCCTGGACGCACCCCCACCCGTGCCGCTGTGCGAGCCCCCACATGAGCATGCCGACGCCGCACCCACCGTCGAGCGTCGCACTACGTTCAAATGCCTGCGCAGACGCCTCGAGCCGGTTCTCGAGGTGTGCTTTGATCCCGAGCTGGAGAAAGTCCTGCGGCGTCTGTGGGTTGGCGAGCGCGTCGCTCTGTGGCTTCGCGTTCGCGTGCGAGGTTCGCGGCGAGGGCGCGGCCGCGGGCGAGGATGCGGGATAGGAGACCCCGGTGGGCGTCGCGGGGAGCTCGTAGTACGAGTAGTCTGAGTACACGCTCGAGGCCGAGACGACGCGCTGGGCGCCCGCGAGGGCCGGCGCCGCAGGGGGCGTGAGCGGCGAGATAGGGGAATGTGGTGGGAAGCTACCGACGCTCGACGCTGGCGACATTGGGCGCGACCCAGCATGGGCGGGGAGCGCGGGAGACGAGAGCGGGCTGGAGCCGTGCAGACGCGGGCTCTTGGGCGCGCGGTGCGAGGACGAGGTCGGGCTGGGGCTGGGCGATGCAGGTCCGCGTGCGTTCGCGTTCCGGAGGAGGACGTCGCGCTTGCGGGACTCGGACTGGTCCCAGTCGATTTCCTGCACAGGGGCGACGACCGGGCGAGAATAGTTCATACCACTGCTGCCGCTGGCGTTGACCCGGGGGTCGCCAGGGTATCCGTACTCGTCGTACCCATGCGTGATCTCGGGCTCGGAGACGACGACGGTGGGGATGTTGGGCATCGTCGACGACTCGTAGATCGAAGGCGGGTCCATCGCGCTGGAGGACCGCCAGGTTTCGCGGTAGCGGTCGCCGAAGCTGTCGAGGTCGATGGACTCGTGTGCGCCGCCGCCAAACTGGGGTGCGCGGTAGGTGCCCTGACCACTCGAGGGGCTCTCAGGCGGCGAGCGGTCGGTGCGCGCGTCCCAGGAGAGGGTGCGGG